GTCTCCTCTTTCTTGCCCTCTCTCCTTTGTCTCCTCTCCTTCACCCTCTCTCCTTCCTCTCTGTCTCCTCTCTCCTTCCTCTCTGTCTCCTCTCTCTCACTCCCTCTCTCCTGTCTTTTCGCTCTCCTCCTCTCCGGGTTTTGCCCGTTTCTGTGTTATTTCCTCCCCTCTCCCCTGGCTCCTCCAGCTGCAGCCCCACACAGCTCTGGAGTCGAATGTTCCCCCAGCTCTCCTGAAGCATTCGGACTGGGTCACCCGCTCAGGAATGGACACCACAGGGACAGGGGTGTTCCGTCAGGTCTGGCTCACTGGGAGCAGCACCGAGGGAAGCAGGGATTCCGTGAGACATGGATCTCTGGGCCGAACACCAAAGGCTTCGGCAAACTTTGGAATCTTTTTTAAAAAAAGATGACAGGGATCCATCCATCCATCCACGATCTAACTGCTTCTTCCAATTCAGGGTCACAGGGGAGCCAGAGTCCATCCTAGCAAGCAAGGTGAAAGACGGGATACACCGAGGGCAAACACACGTACCCCTACAGTAGAGCCAATTTTCCCAGAAGCCAATTAACCCACCAGCATGTCTTTGGACAGTGGGAAGAAACCCACACAATCATGGGGAGAACATGCAAACTCCACACAGATAGCACCCCAGGTCCGTAATTGCTCAAAATCAAGGCCAAAGCGCTAGATGAAGTTTTTAAAAGGTCTGACTTATAAGCTTGGGTGATTTCACGAGTGGTTTGGAAAAAGAAAGATGAAAGGAGTAGGTAAATAGAAACAGGAGAGCCATCCCACCCGTCGGGCTTGGTTTGTTGAGTTTCTGTGATGGATCCCAGAAGAAATACCAGCTAAACACATCTCCGGCGGTCCATCCATAATTCATCGGGCCTGTCTCCCTGCAACTCTCCATAAACAGGCTTAAACACAGGGAGAAAACACAGGGATTAGAGGCCATGAAAGTTTCAGGAGGCCCCAGTAAAATATTAACGGGACTAAGAAGCAGGACAAACAGCTGTGGTTTCCAGGCCTCCTCTGGGTCAGAAAAGAACACACTGTAGGTGTGCGCCAGTGGATTCGGTGTAACAGACGCTGTTAACCTTTCTTCACAACGTCTCCCGTGCCTCTTCAGCCTGCGGGACGTCCCGTCCCACGTGGGTCCACAGTCTCAACCCCCACGGGCTGAGCCCAGACAGTACACCTACAGCACACCATTCTGCGTGCTCCCCAGAGGCTTCAAGCTCTGACCCTGTTGAACCGCAAGTCAAAGGAATCAAGACACCCGGGCACACGAACCAGGCTTCACAGGTCCCTTTGCTTCCCCGGCGAGTGAGTGAACAGCCTAGTTTCAGGCACACGAGGGGCTCCAGAAGGAAGAGAAAACCAGGCCAGGTGTGTGCTGACTGGCCCCCTTTTCAGCTGTCCTGAGCACGAGTTCAAGAAGGAAGCAGATTTGACATCAAGATGTTTCCATGCGCGTTGAAAATCACTTGAAAATCACTTAAGCTCTAAAAACGTCGATGGTGTCAATTATGGGGGGTAACAGAGTAGACTTCTATTGAGCAGCAGCTTTTACCTCTGGGTTTTACAGAGTTGTCAGTCTCCGCTAGACTCCCCCTGCACTGCAGTGTAATCTGCTCCAGATTGGGTATTGTCAGTCTGATTCACAACACATTGCAGGCTGATCCACTCCAGATTTTACTGTGTTGTCAGTCTGATTGCCTTCACACCGCAGTCTGATCCACTCCAGGTTTTAGTGTTGCCAGCCCAATGTCTGATGCACTGCTGTCTGATCCACTCCATGTTTAACAGTGTTGTCTGTCACACTCCTGATGCACTGCAGTCTGATCCACCCCAGGTTTTAGTGTTGTCAGCCCAACGTCTGCTGCACTGCTGTCTGATCCACTCCAGGTTTTACCAGCTGTGAGTGACTCTGGCACAGAACAAACTGCAGGTGCTGGATCCCTCAAGCTTATCTACTTTTGACAGACGTGGAGCTTCAACAATATTAAACATACGGCTTCATTAGTATCAATCATAGAGGAGCCCACAGCTGGGCTGAAAACTGATGAGACTGCAAGGCAGCGAGAGATTTACTGAAGAGTAAATGTGATGCGTTTTAAAAATCTTAGTTATTCCTGTGACTTTATAATACATTTAGATAATAATGCCTGCTGAATTAGTCGCAGCAGGGTTCTATTATAAAGTGGTTAGAGTGGGGCTAACGAACAGTACATTTTACAGTAAAAAGTAATGAGAAGAAAGACAACATTACAAATGTGGAGCCTCTTCAGGTGTGTGGAGGAGGGAGGGGGGGCTTGTTAGCTAGTTGCTAATTAATCTGAGAATGTCATCCAGCCATTTCTTGATAGAAGCCAGAGTCTTCAACAACATGATTGGAGTGACCTGTTCCAGACCCCCACCGCCCTTAGTGTAAAGACATCCCTCCTGTTCTCGGATTTACACGGCCCTCCGCTTGCATCCACTCGTTCCCTCGGGTGCCCTCTGGTCAGCATGTCTCGTGTCTGTGCCCTGGGCAGACCCTCTCGGTGACCTGGCTGACCCGGAGCGCTGGCTGTTCAACCCCATAAGGGCCCCAGACTCGGGGCGCTGGGAACCCCACTGGCGTAGACCAGGATTGCACGGCAAATTCTTTTCCCTTTCAGTTGTATCTTTCCTGGATTTTGAAGATCTGGAGGAGCTGCCCTTTACAAAGTCTCAGTTATTTTTAGACAGCGCCCCCCTCCCCGACACGCACACCGCTGTACCCTCGGCGCTAAATGTCACTCTCATGTAGGTCAGCCGGCACAGCGTGCATCTCCTCGTTAGAAAGTGGCGTATTAAAAAGGTGAACGGGAATATGAAAAACGCTCCGAACCCCTCTCTGTGTTTTTTGTACAAAGCCCAGCTTCTGTCTGGCAGGGAGTCTTGTCAGGCTGCTTTCTGAAGATGCAGGAAATAATAGCGGGGGGTGGGAGGGTCACACGCCCAGCGGGGGCATGGCTTTGAGTTTGTTCCACTGGCTTGAGGAAACCAGGGAAATCGCCCCCTTTCTCAAAGCAGTGGGGCGCCAGGGACCCCGGCCCTCCTCCAGCTCCAGCTCCGCCCGGGTGGTTCGCAAGTTCCCGCACCTGGCAGCACCGCTCAGGCAGCAGAGGAGGGAGACACCCAGCCAGCCACCAGGGCGGCGCTGTTGCTATGCACGCCAATGGTACCCCCTGGTGTGTCCCTGCTCCACACCACCACCTGCACCGTCGCCTCGCCTGGTGGAATCCCGGTCACTGTGGGTTACCAGCAGAGCCCGGTCCAGAACCAGGGC